AAGCCCCCGGTAGGGCAAAGGTCAAAGAAAATATAAAACTAGCACAACAAAAGACAATATTTTTTTTAAAAATGTTAGTATTGTTTTAAAAAATTTTGATTTAAAAAAAAATTTTTTTTAAATTAAACAAAATTTAAAAGGGATAAAAAAATCCAAATGTTTATTAAAAATATTTTTGTTATTTATGGAGCAGCCCAACTAGTTTTGGGGGGTGGTTTTTTTTTCCTTTTTCCTTTCTATTTTTAAAAGGGTTTTTTCCTTTTTTACGGGTTTCTTCCCATGTTTTGTCCTGTAAATAACAAAAGAAAAAAATTTCAAAAGGGGTTATTTTGTGCTTTTTTTTTAAAACTATTGTTTTTAAAAATTTATTTTAAACACTGTTTTTCACAAAAAATTGTAATTTTTTTAATTTTTTTGAAATTCATTCAAACATTCTCAATTAATTGAAGTTTCAGATTAATTACAATTTTCTAAATACTAACCATTAACGACACAAAGTTATACTGTCATGAGATAATCAGATTACACATGGTTTAGTTGTTTTTAATAAAAACATAGCAAATATATTCCGTTACTAATCTTTTATTACAAATGGCATATTCTTATTAAGGGGGAGTCGTAATTATGGGAGAACAGGAATACATATCGGTAAATAAAACACTGTACTCTCGTACTATCGCCATCGCGTTGTCGCACTTTCACATTGCCGCCCTCTGGATTATAACGTTCAACCACGATGGCCCTAACGGTATTCTGTACACTATTACTGATAGCAAAGTTTTTTTTTATTATTTTGATTTCTGACCATGTCTAGCTGATCAACTAGCTAGCTGAACAATTTAAAGTGTTTTTGAGCCACTTATGGCCTCCTGGGTCTAGTTCTGGCTTTCAAATATAAAATGCCGTTTTTTTCATCTGAGGAAGCATTTTGTTCCCGTAAATGTACAGTAAACTAATAAATATGGGAACGTCGAATGTGTTTGACCAACTCGAATCCAGTGATAAATCTAATTCTCAATATACATGGAGAGGACCAGATGAATAACCTTTATGAATAAAATTGGTGTGTAATTGTATTTTATGCATAATCAGTCATTTAAAGAAGAGTGTTTCTTTGTTTTTTAGTTTTGTTGAATGGTATTAATACACTAAACGAAATCGATCATTCCGACAACCTTTTCTATGTACATGTATATATAGTGGTCAGAATAATTATGTATATATATACTTGTATAGAATAATTTCAACGATTCTTGTATAAACACTTATCATAGTATCATCATTTTATATCAGTAAATGCATTTTGTAATAATTCAATCTTAACAAGAAGCCAATAACTGATTTGGCATATATTTTGAAAAAAGCTCGAGCTTATCTGCAAGTTTAAATCTTAGTACTGATAAGTTTCATTAAGTATAGATTGTTTGATTGATGGAAGTTTGACTCGGTTCCCCCGTGAGGCTTGAAAGGAGTCACTTTTCTCACATTGAGGGAGAGTGTTAATTTCTTATGGTAAACGCATCTAGATCTCAGTGAACAAAAATACACAGACCGTCCAAATTGTATTGCCCGATTAGTGATGGATATGTATAACATCGCTATATTACATTATTTAAGAAGAATATTCAAGCAAACTATAACAACTTACATCATCTGACAAATCCCTGTCCGCCATGTTGCACCTCCTAGCTTAAAATGAGCGGCAATGCATCATCACAAATTACAAGTCGCAACTTAGAAGTCAGAAGTCATAACTCCCGAGTCAATAGTCAAAAGTCAGAAGTCAAAAGGGCCCTCCAGTGCTTCCATACAAACCTGCCCTTTTAACTTGTGTCTTATGACTTGCGACTTATGACTTGTGACTTTTGACTTCTGATTTGTGACTTACCTGTCTGACATAAATCGACGCGTTTTCGAATGAAATATGGCAGACGAAAACGCTTTATATTCTAGAACAATTTTCTCATTTAATTAAGATGTTTTATAACACAGTCTCTTCTAAAATCGTATTTTATCATCTGGGTTAGCTGCAACTTGAAGGCTGCTGAGCTTCTCGTATTGTCGACAGTTGTTCTGTCTTATTCAAAATGTAAGTGTTATACAAACCTCTCTCACGTGTACATTCTCATACAATTTGTTGTTTTAATGACGGTTGTGGATAATAATAATAATAATAATAATAATAATAATATCTTTATTTAAAGAAGGTTACACATTAAGAACATACAATATCAATATCTTATTTCCAATGTGGCCTTCTGAAATAGAAAACAACAACAACAACAACAACAGGACATGCATAGGTAGAAAGATGAATGTATAATATGTAATTTTTAGAATAATACAACTCATATACTTTCGACAGACACTCAACAATTTGTTTAAACATATACGTATATTGCATCATTCGTTCATTCGTTCGTTCATTCGTTCGTTCATTTATTCATTCATTCACTCACTCATTCATTCATATGAACATCAAGATATGCTTTGTATTTTTCTTTAAAACATTTAAGGTTATTAACATTACGAATATTTAAAGGTATATTGTTCCAAATGTTCATGCCATAATAAGAAAATGTGTCTAATATAATTTGTTTTAGGTCTTGTCCATAATACAATATCTTTTCGTGACCTATATCTTAAGTTATATATTTTGTTGTCGGATAAAGTCATTAGTTCTGTCATATAAGTCGGTGCCATGTTATTTAAAGTTTTAAAAACAAGCACCGCTGTGTGGTATTTACATCTGTCAAGGAACGGTAACCAGTTAAGAGTTTCGAATAGATTTATTGACGGAGATCTTTGTGGTTGCTGTAAAATGATTTTAGCAATTCGTTTTTGTAACTTACAAACATTATTTATGTAGTTTGTGTTTCCTTTACCCCATATAATACAACAATAGTCCATAATGGGCAATATATATGCATTGTAAAACAATAATTTCATATCAAAGTGCAAAAAATACGATATTTGTTTCAATAAGGCAATTTTTCCGTTAAGTTTTTTACAAACATTGTCAATTTGCAAGTGCCATTTTAAGTTGTTATCTATGCAAATACCCAAGACTTTTTGATCAGTTACATTTTCAAGAGCTATTTCATTTATCTTAAGATACAATTTTCTCATAATATTTACTTTTTGTCTTGTTCCTATTACCATACATTTTGATTTATCTGGATTTAACACCATATTATTTACTTTGCACCATTTGTCAATGTTATTTAAATGATCTTGAAGTTTTATTTCTACTTTTGATATATTTTCTCCGGACTCATAAAGAGTAGAATCGTCTGCGTATAAATCAATTTTTATATCATTACCAATGAAAGCTATGTCATTTATGTATATCAGAAATAATAAAGGACCTAATATTGAGCCTTGTTGGAACACCGGAAATTATTTTCATTGTCTGAGATTGTAGATTACCTATCTTAACCAGTTGAATTCTGTTTAGAAAGATATGACTTAAAAAACTTAACGGCATTTTCAGAAAAATGATAAAGTTTAAGTTTATGCAAAAGAATTTCATGGTCAACCAAATCAAAGCTTTCTTTAAGTCTAAGAATACAGTCCCGATAAATTTTTCCACTGTCAACATCTTTTAACCAAGTATCTATTAAACTAATGAGTGCAGTATTACATGAATGATTTTTACGAAATCCTGACTGTTTATTATGAATTATGTTCGTTTTTTCAAAGAATGAGTGTATTTGTTTGGCAATATGGCGCTCAAATATTTTGGATATAGTTAACAAAATCGATATCGGTCGATAGTTATTTGCTTCATTCTTATCCCCCGATTTAAAAATAGGTATAACTCGAGCTCTTTTTAAATCATCTGGGAAAATATTAGATTCAATACTATTATTGATAATTGATGCAATTATTGGTGTAATATAATCTCCACAATATTTTGATGATGTTTGGTCCAATTCCATCTAAACCTGTAGATTTTTTAATATTCAGTTTTTCAATAATAAGTTTTACTTCAAACGGTGTAATTAATTCAATATTAAATTCATGATATATAATCTTTTGGTCTAAAGTTTCTTTCAGTTTTGAAAAATTTGTATTTGAAAACTTTGTTTTATGTATGACATTCGAGATATTGACAAAATACTTGTTTAATTCATTTATAATATTTACATTTCCGTAATTTTCTTTATTACCTGTCACTAGTCTGTCTGGCATTGTAAGACAACCTTTTTTATTTAGATTTGAAACGTCCTTTAAATTTTTCCATAAAAATGCCAGGTCTTTGTTATTTTTAATAGCATTGTTAAAGAAATCTCTTTTACTTTTTTTAATCATTGATGATATTTTATTTCTGAGCAATTTGTATTGTTCATGTTTCCCTACTTTATGATAGTAATCGCGTTCATATATTAGATATTTTATCTCATCAGTAAACCATTCCGGCCGGTGTTCACGTTTGATACGTTTTTCTTTTATTGGTGCATGCTTTTTCAAGATAGTATTTAAAATGGAGTAAAATAAGCTAAGGGATTCATTCGGATTAATTATGTGCTCGACTAATTCAAGATCGGATAAAGCAAGGTCTACCTGAAAATCAATTTCATTGAAGTTTTTAAAACATCTATATTTAATCAAATTATGTTCATTAATCAATCGGGTACATGCTTTCGTTGATCTTGAAATACCTATCGGATAATGATCACTGTGGCGCCGTTATATGTCGCAACACCGCTAAATGTCGCATTTACCGATAAATGTCGCACCATTGCCGCTAAATGTCGCAACCGCCGCTAAATGTCGCAAAATCATTTGCCGTTAAATGTCGCAATGTTAACGTTAAATGTCGCACGGATTTCCCCTACCGTTAAATGTCGCAACACTATCGTTAAATGTCGCAAGATGTTGAACTCGAGTTTTATATAAATCAGCGGATCTGTGGATTTTACAGATACAGCGAGTGTTGTATTCTTACGCATTTTACAAAACTTTTTCTTACTTTTTTTTTTTTTTTTTTTTCAATTTTGTTATTTTAGTCTGATGCTGATTTTTTAAAAAATAAGTCAGTGTTCATGTAATTTACTTTTTTTGTTCACATTTGTTACAATGTCACAAATGTGTTTCCTATTCTAATTAAAATCTGGGACCAAAATTTTATTATTGTTCCAGTTAAAATATACAAACCAGGGTATGAATTTTTTAAAACTAACGCAGAGATATAGATAAATCTACATCTCTAATAAACGTTATTGCTATGACGAAACTGGTAATATCTTTTTCTAAATTTATATACTATTGGATGCACGTTAACTTGTGTGCAAGATTTCAGATTATTCGCTCACTCTATTTTTCCAGTATAAGTGCAAAATGACCCAAAAATGAAAAGTGGTTAAACGCTTTTAAAACCCAAATCGGACAAGAATTACACATAATCGCGGATTTATATATTACATTGTAATTAAGATCCTTGACAAAATAGAATTTATATCGAAATCAAATCAGAGTACATATATTTATTATATACCTATAAATGAAATATTGAGAAATATTGATGAAATAAAACGCTTATTTTCATTTTCGTACTTCACTGTAAAAAAGGATTTTAGTGAAACATATTTTCTGTGTATTCACTGGTGTCTTGCCGGACTTCTCTCTTTCAAATTTAAGGAATAGTTTTCTAAATTGTAATTTAAGAATAGAGACAAATGTATATAATAAACAGAAAATTCAAGTTTTTTCTATAAATACATGATTTATTTTCATATTGTGGCATGAAAATTATCACATTTCACTCGTGGATACCGCCACTCATGAAATATTTATTCTCATACCACTTGATGAAAATAAATCGTGTATTTACAGAAAAAACTTGAATATCCCCTATACATTTTAACATCTTTTGTATATTTGTCCTGCAGTTTATCTATGTACGAATTTATTTTTTTATGTGTTTAGGTTTTAGGACCTCAGTGGAGATCCTTTAATTAAATACCTTAACAAACTTATATATTATAAACCGTTTTTAACTTTAAGGTCCCAGCTTCTTTCAATATTTCATTTTGATACCACTTCCAATTGTTCTTGCGTCTTAATGCCCGAATGACGAATAAAAACTGTTTCGCGCATGTCACGTGATGGTGTGCCAACCACGTTAACTTTTTGGTCCTTCCGAATTATCCAGGCGGGGAACAATAGTTTCATATAAATACATAGCAAATTAAATCGTGTGACTGAAAAGAGGTCGGAAAATGTTTTGCTGGCGTCTTTAACGGATTTGTTTAGTAAAGTTTTTTGGTGAGAATCAATCAGTGGTTAAACATACAAGATTGTCCCCGAGCGCTCAAGATTCATGGTCGAGTGATTTTCCATGCACTTTACTGTTAGCTACATTTGCGTGAAGTTTGTGAGAGGGACGTGACGGAAACAAAAGTATGGCAGATTTGGAATTGTTTCTTTTATTTTAGGACGTCGAAGAACTTAGTATCAATAAAAAATGTAAGTTATTTTATATTTTATTAATAAAAACTATATAGCCGAAACGTAATATTATTACACATGAAAATCGGGAAAGCGTTACTGTTTTTTTTAGGAAAAAAATGTAAATATTTCACAGAAGGGAAATGTTATTGTATCACATAAAATTTGTAAATTATCAAATATGTTTCGTAGGTACAATTTGTTTGACACAAAGTTAAATTTTCCATGAATATGGACTTTAATTATAAATTAGCATTAATCATAAGGATTATACATGTTAAACTTTTAATTTTTCATGTGACGTTTCGATCATAGTTATTTTTGACCATTATGATAATTGGCTTATGATATAAAACAAAATACAGATATGAATAATTGATGGTTGGCATATGAGGTCTAACAAAGTATTGACACGGATGATTGACGTGTGATATGTAAAAATGATGGCCATGTTGATGACAATGTTGTTTTGATGAGGACGTCCATGGGTGTTACAGTGATGATGGAATGACGTTGTTCAAGTGAGCATCAGGTAAATTTAGTTATTTAAAGGAACGAGCTTTTTTTAGAAACTAGTTATTATTAGACAAATGAGTTTTAACTTTTCTTCGTAAGTTTTATCAGTTTCAGAACGGAACCAATGAACTTGCAAGTAATCATACTATATCGGGCCATGCTTGTGGAACAAGGACAGCACACATTATGCAACATTAAAACAGCATTTACATTTGGAAAATTTGACATTATAAGAAATTTGATATACATATAATACATGTAAATGGTATTATGTCAGTAACTGAAACTGCGTAGAATTACAAAATTTTATTTTAGAAATGAAGATTCTTTGTCAAAATTGAAAACTATGTTTTATGTTTATGTATATTGACGATATTTTGTGTGCATTGTTTATATCGATTTTGGTTGTTTTGGTTTCTTTCTCAATTTTTGGAGTTGGTGTGTGATTGGGGTTATTCGATTTTGGTTCGGTGTTTTAGTTTGTCTCTTTGTTGGAGTTGTTTATGAGTGTTATGGTAGTTTTTCTTTGTCTTTGTTGGAGTTGTTAATGTCATTTGTGTGTTATGGTTGCTTTTCTTTGTCGAAAATTCTGGCCTTATTTCTGAATAGTTTGGGAATTGGTGGTCGATAAGACAGTTGATTCTTTGCTGATACATTGTGATCGATTAAAAAAATTCGGATTTTGGATTTTGTTAAACATGTACATGTACTAGTCGAATTATTATTAGTCATCATTTCAAATAGTTATATCAATTTCATAAAAATGGGAGACACATTTATAGTTATATTGAATTTTAACTGTACAATACCCAATTTTGTATATATATATATATATATATATATTGATGTTTAATATTAATGTGATATTTTTGATAATTATATAAATACATAGGTGGAGAATGCGGCAATATATTAAAGATAACATTGATTCTTTTAGATTTAGAACGTGACATTTCTAATAATGATATTCGGGTGTTGAATGCGACATTTTTAACAATTATATATACTGATTATTTTAGATGCAGAATGTGACATTTTAGACTAGTATAATATTATTGTTCTTTGGTTTTTCGTTTGTTTTCAGATGTCGTAAGAAAATATCACTGGATTACTTTTGAAAGACAAGAATAGATAAAATTGTATATTTCTAAATATTACCACTATATAATTCATACTATTGAAGAAAAATGTTTATTGATCATTTAGCAGACGTAAAGCAGGAAATGGCGGGAAGAATCCTAGCAGACGACAGTTGTCGCGCAGATGCAATCATGCACCATATCAGACTGCCCGAAATTACAGGCTGGCCCAGCTCTATACTGGACTCGCTTTCAGCATGTTACAGTAGGGTTTGAAAAAGGAAATCATAACTTTGTAACGTATGTCTTGTCTACTTTTTGAAAAATAAACTTTCGTGTCAATGTAATAATTATGTTGACATATCATTATTGTCTAATGTTTCATAATGAACCATTTTTAGCCCAACTGTTTGAAAAACGAGTAAGGGCTATTTTAGTCACTTGGTCGTCTGTTCTCGTAAAACATTTCGTTTTGCATGTTTTGTGTGTAACTTCCTACCTTAGAATTCATTATGATTGTGTAACGGGGAACATAATCTAAACACCTTTAACTTTAAACTAGATTTTGATTTATATAATTACATGTATGCCACTTAGTCAGCTTGATTTAAAGCAGTCATGTCTAAAATAATAATTTAAGTTTACAATATATTCTTATCAAATGAGCATAATAATGTTGAGTTATGGGTCATTAAGAACATTTCAGTAATTTAAACAAATAACTTACAATTATTTTTAAAATGCTAAAAAATGTAACATTTGTTCGACCATGTTACCAATAGTGTATCCACAGGTAGCAGACGACAATAAATTTTAAAGTGGAAATTTGCGACTTCCGGTGTGTCTGCTACTCGATGTTGTGATCTTAGTTACTTCCCCTGACGTTCAGTATATGAAATGAGGGTCGAGGTAAGTAAAGATATTTTGAAGAAATACAAAATTTAGCTAAACATAGAACAATACATTTTACAGATAAGGCTTTGTGAGTCGCTGATTACACCTTTAACTCCGCAAAATATTTTAAATGGACTTGCCCATCTTCAAATCTGGACAAAACCATTACTCATTTTAAGGGAAAATTTCAAAATATGTCATGTATGTAGTGACTTAATATCGAATAGTGCAGATCATGAGCAGATGTCAAGGATATGCCGACTGGTTTTGGTCGGCACTGGTCGCACGGGTACATGTATATGATGCTGGCACTAGAAGGCTGAGAGTAAATCAAAATATTGTACCACACAAAATATTCAGAAAGTACTAATTACAGTTCATTAATAATTACAACTTTTAATTTAGTACAATGTTTGTATTTTAAAAGCATGTTAATTTCAGATGGACCATGACTTTTTGTAATTATTGTTGCTTTTCTAGAAAAAAAATGAACTGAACATAATATAAAGACACTCGCTTCCTTAAAGTATTACAATCTAAATACAAAAAAATATACATTCAATAACTAAATTCACGAATAGGTAAAAGATATCGGCACTATTTTAGTGATTGTGCCGAAGGAAGGGAGATAAAAATATCTCTTATTATAATTATACCATAAAATATCATAATTATTTCTAATGCATAATGTGTATTTTGTAATGATCTGGTGACTTTGATTGTGACACTCCGATAACATCTTAATTTTCAACCTATAAATAGATAAAAAAATTAACATATATTTCAGTTTCAGGATTTGAAATTAAGAAAGAACGAAAGATATGAAATGAGCACCGGCAAACTGATCTTGGCATGTCACATCCTTATCACAGAACTGGAACCTACTGATTATGATGAGGTAAAAGTATATTTAATGAATATATGTATAGATTTGTTTCTTAGCCTGCTGAAAGCGAAAGTCATTAGTCTTTGCCTCCAGAATAGAGCCCGGCCAGCCTGCACATTTGTGCAGTTTGACCAGCCTCTTTACTGTTTGCTAACTACCAATTTTTATTTTCATGTGATAATTAGTTATAATAATTTATAATGGACTGTTCCTTAAATAAAATGTTGAAAAGTCCATTTAATAATTTCCGCAGGTTAAAGCAGCATGCCTCCAGATTCATGCCCATTCTTCATGTAAATTTTGAAAATGTATCGGAAAAAAGAAAAATATAGTGTAGTGAACAAGGAAAGTAATTTACACATTACAAACAGCATTTACAGTCTACTTACATTACCAAACAAAGGCCAAAATATACACTAATAGCCATTGCGTTAGTCACGCAGTAGAAATATGGTAATAAGAACTGCGACTTCGGTCGTTAAAGACATTTAGCACATAAATAATTACTTGAATCTTTAATCTTTTTACTTCTCTTAAAATCTGAGTACATTTTTCTTAAGTTTGTTTTTCTTGAAATATTTTTGATTCATCTGGAGGCGTGCAGCTTTAAGGCTTGTTTATAGCTCTTGAATGAGACGTGTATTCATTTGGTTCTGAAACAGTACGGCATTGTGAAAATTGTTTCATGTTCGGGTTTGATAAAAAAAAATTTCTTTGCTTAACACAGAAGCAGTTACCTTTGTTGTTGTTATTCAGTTATGAATTGCTTTGGCTAAATAAATACATATACACCTACACTGGTATCGAACATTTTTCTTCATTATTCAAATTTGATAAAACTTTTGTAAGTTTTAGTTATAATAAAGGGCGTCCGTTACCGAGTGGTTGAATGAATTCATTGACTTCAAATCATTTTCACCCCACCCCCATTCCTTCACTTTTATGGGCAGCGACTTTGAATTCATGAATAGTCCTTTTTCCGCCAGTAAAGCTAAAAAATTATTATTGTACCGTCGAGACAGTAACCATTCACCTACTAAATTAGAGTAATGGATCTGCCCTGCATAGAATTTGGAACAGTCCATTTGAAGTTTATGGGATTTTAATGACAAAATACAAATTTGAGCACACGATAATACATAGCCTGGGCACGGAGTGCAAAGGGTTTAACCCAACCAGAGTAATTGAACCATTGCAGTTAAGAATATACTAGAAATAATAAGAGAATCGTTTAATGACATCTTGAGTGAATAAAAGCTTTATGACCACTATTTGAGTACGACGTAATTATTTGTTTATTGTATTCCTGAATTCTATTATCTGCATTTTTTAATAAGAGTATTGATAACATTGTTTTTTTTTTAATTTGGTGGTTCAACCCGTGCGCCTGCTGTCTTTTGCAAGTGAAACGCAAAGTGATACAAGTGATATGAATATTTTATACATTATACAAGTTAAATGTTGATGCTGACATCAAAGACGCCGCCAAATAATGTGAACAGTCAGTCAGCATTGAAAATCGTTCTCTATTACTGTTGAATATCCGAAGCACAAATCATTTTTTTTCTCCATGTTCTTGGTATGTGCTCGTTGTTTAATAATTAAGTTGCATATTTTTGTGAAAAAGTAGAACCTAATAGGTAATGCAATGTCTGAAATTCTGAAATATTTGTCTGTTGCGACAAAGATTGAAACGTCTGGTCAAAGCAAAATAAATCTTTGTTCATTTTTTCTGAAGAGTTATTTCTTAAACAGTTTGTTTGCTGGTATTAAGGTGTGCAGCTTTAAAGGAAGGCCCATTATGCCCCCAAAAATGTTTTTATTTTTATATCTGAAAAGCTTTTTATTTTTTGGTATCCTATTATAGTTTCAAAATTCAAACTTTGATGAATATATAAAAGTAATGGTACTGATACTTAATTACTTCACCAAAAAAAGTACTGGTACTGAAGTACCAAGCTAAAATCTAGTACTGGTACTGGTAATGGTACTGCATAATTTGCCAAGTACTGGTACTGGTACTTAAGTACTACACCCTTAGTACTGATGCAGCTCTGTTCATTGGTCATTTATCTAAATAATATTTTGTTTTTTTGAAAACAGTTTTAATGATTTAGTATTTTGTTCATATTCATTGGTCATTTATCTTAATAATCTTTTGTTTTTTTTGAAAACAGTTTTAATGATTTAGTATTTTGTGTAGAAATTAAAATACGACTGTGTTTACAGTTTGCGACCTTTAAAACAATATTTTCACATTCAGCCATACTTTATTTCCAATAAGCATCTAACATGCTTTAAAGCATTATTTGAACGTTATAATACTTATGTTTGCACTGCCTAATGTAGGAAAAAAATGATTTATTTCTGAGGCATAATGTGCCTTTAAGGAAAAACAGTTGATTCTAAGTTGAATATAATTTTTACAATGCAGGTGTATCGGTGATCTTTACATTTCAGAAATACGGAACATGGTAAATTGAGCAGGTGAAGGAATGAAGAAAACACCACCCTCTTGACAGTCAGCAAAATAACTATGCTTTGTTACGGTTTGGAACTACTGCATGCCGTTACAACTTAATATGTGACAAAGAGATTTTAATCCACCTGATACGATTTGGTATCTTTCTGAAAATGTCATGTTCAACTTCTGAATGGTGTTTTTTTTTCTGCCAAATTTAAGAAATATATTACCATGTAACTGTCTAATATTTATGGCAATTATGAAGTAATAGTGAGTTTTTGGCGTAGTAATAAAAACCATAAAAGGTGTTAGCTCGATTGGATTTTCTACATGAACTTAAAAAAATAACACCTTCATAAATGCCTTGATGTGAACAGAATAGAAGGGATATTTTATTTGCTTTTTACATTGTACATCTTCTATTTAACATACTGTGCCGTCAATAAATTGAAATGGCAATAATGAGTATAATTGCAATAATGAATGATGCATTTTTTTGCAATGTATATTTCAAGTGGTGTAATCAGTAAATTTTGATCAGGAATGTACATTTATTAAGACTTAATATATATGCAAACATACTGTACCGTTAACATAATGGCAATAGTAAAATTGCAGAAATGAATGATGCGCATTTTTTACAATGTATATTTCAAGAAGTGTAATAGGTAACATTTAATAGTTAATAAAGACATACTAGGCCGTACAATGAGAAATAATGATAATTTAACAACGTCATGATAGAAACATCCATTTGAAATTTCTTAAGATTTAGATAATAATAACACCACCAAGAATATCACCACTACCACCAAAAACAACATTAATGAAACATAATGAAAACTCCAACGATGAAATATTTCATCATTTAAAAACATGCAATGATGAAAAAATTAAATAAAATATTAGAGTAATTGTAATCACGACCAGAAGAACAATAATGAAATAACAATATGAGTGAAATAAAATAAAAACTATAAAATGAAATGAAATGAAATGAACAATAATGAAATAAAATGAAAACAAAAATAATGAAATAAGATAAAATAAAAACAATAAAATAAAAGCAAACAAAAAATGAAAATAAAACATTGAAATAAGGTAACAAGAAATGGAATGAAAGAATATTATTGTCACAAGTGACCATTTAGTTGTTTACCTATAACATTCTTGACCTTAAAGTGACCAGCCTTTGCCACCAGTATGCAGCCAGGCCAACCTGTACGTCCGTGCAGATTGACCAGGCTCTAAACCGTTGGCTGACCAATTTCAAATTTGATTTTATTCAAGTTATATTCCCTAAATTGAGAATGAACGTATTCAGAAACGGAAGCTGGACAAGTCCGCTTCCGATAATATTATCAACCTTATACATGATATAATGTGTTCCTTTATATTTTGAAGTATCATTTGTTTCATTTTTTATCTTTTAAATGCTTTAAATAAGGAGTCACAAAGGGTTACTTTATCATTTTCATTTCCAAGCATATCCTCGTGCGTTTCATCGCCGGATAGCCACTGATAAACACTGCCTATCTTGATTACATGTTTATCAACCGTGAGTATCCGACGATGCATGCGTTTATGCTTGTTTTTTTTGTTGTTGATTTTTTTATTGTTGTTTTCAGTTTTTATATGATCTGACAAAAAGTTAAAAAAGATGGTGGGGGCTAGCATCATTTAGCTTTTTTGTTCGCTTTTGATACGTTATTCTATCATTTTTTTAACTTTACTTGCCTGTTTTAATTTTTTTAAAGTTTTTTTTTAAATTAATTAATTAATTAATTAATTAATTAATTAATTAATTAATTAATTTATTTATTTATTTATTTATTTATTTACCTACTTATCTTTATTTATCTATTTATTTATTTATTGTTTTGCAAATTACATCAAGCGAAAAGGGAGGCTACTTGTTTTAAAATACAGATTGATCTCCCCTGAAAATTTAAATGATAAGAACGGACCAAAGGAGACTTCTCTTCATTAAAAGAAGTATAAAATGATAAAAAGTCGTTTTCCCGTCAGTTTACACTCCATTACCACTTGTTATTTTTTCTAACTGATAACTCTCACACATCTTCGGCACTAACATTAACATTTGGGGAAAATGACTTTCATAATGCTACTGTAAAACTTCCAACAAATATCAATCAAAAGTAATAACATTTGGTCGTGAAAATTTAGCCGCAAAAGGCATAATGTTTAATTATCAATAGGGAGAGAAGTCACCTTTTGGTCCAATTTTCAGGGGTGGTTACACCGTTACTTAATTAAGAATGGTCTCCCTTTGGTCATACTTGCTTTTACAAATTCTTCTGCAATATTAAATTTAACATCAAAAACAATTTAAAGGAACACACTATAGTCAAAATTGGATACTTCCTTTTTTACAAGTATACAGAAACTTGAAATATTTCAACCAATTTTTGGGTAGATTAATGCTTTGATTAGAATCTTTTCACTTAGTACATATAAAAATATGAAAATACTATAGACCTAGTATCTTTACTTATTGAATCACGTTTTTTTTCAAGTATTATTTAAAATAGTTGGCTATAATTTGTGTCAATTTGTGGGTAAACAGAGGAAAACCATCAAAATTTTGTATACTAGTTTATATATATCTGGAATATTTTAAAGAACAACATTTGACATTTTAAATCTGTCTTGTATCTTGGAAACTTCTTTGCGTTTGTTAATATTTCATTTCTGGAATATTTAAAATATCTCAACATTCTTAAAATTCTAAATAATTCTAACGATGTCCTTTCATAGTTTGAAACATTAATATATTTGTTAATATTTGGGGGAAAAAATGAAATTAATTTGTGTCGTGGGAACTGCTTTACTATCTAAACGTCCTTAAATGAAAAAAAGCTTAGTTTTAATGAAGACCACTACTTGAAATAATATAACTTGTGTCTGGAAAATCACTTGAAATATCTTAACTAAATTAAAATATCTTAACATAAGTTGAGTTATGAAGAATGATTGAAATATCTTAACTTAATTGTGTCTTGAACAATAGTTAAAATATCCTAAAAATGTTTGAGTTTTGGACAATACTTGAAATATCTTAACTTAGTTTGAGTCTGAAACAATAATTGAAATATCTTAACTTAGTTTGAGTCTGAAACAATAATTGAAATATCTTAACTTAGTTTGAGTCTGAAACAATAATTGAAATATCTTAACTCAGTTTGAGTCTGGAATAATACTTGAACTATCTTAACTTAGTTTGAGTCTGGAACAATACTTGAACTATCTTAACTTAGTTTGAGTCTGAAACAATACATGAAATATCTTAACTTAGTTTGAATCTTGAGGAATACTTGAAACATCTTAACTGAGTTTGAGTCTGGAACAACACTTGAAATATCATAACTTAGTTTGAGTCTGGAACAATACTTGAACTATCTTAACTTAGTTTGAGTCTGAAACAATACATGAAATATTTCAACTTAGTTTAAATCTTGAAGAATACTTGAAACATCTTAACTGAGTTTGAGAATGGGACAACACTTGAAATTTCTTAACGAAGCTTGTGTCTGGAACAATACTTGAAATATCTTATCTAAGCTTAAGTCTTGAAGAATAGTTGAAATATCATAACTTAGTTTGAGTCTGGAACAATACTTGAAATATCTTCACTTAGTTTGAGTCAGGAACAATACTTGAAATATATTGACTTAGTTTGAGTCTTAATCAATATTTGAAATATTTTAACTTAGCTTGTGTCTGGAACAACACTTGAACTATTTTAACTTAGTTTGAGTCTTGAACAATACTTGAAATATCTTAACTAAGTTTGAGTCTTGAACAATACTTGAAACATCTTAACTGAGTTTGAGTCTGAAACAAGACTTGGACTTTCTTTACTTAGCTTGTGTCTGGAAGAATATTTGAAACATCTTAACTGGGTTTGAGCTTGGAACAATACTTGAAATATCTTAACTGAGTCTGAGTCTGGGACAAAACTTGAAATATCTTGACTTAGTTTGAGTTTGAATCAATATTTGAAATATTTTAACTTAGCTTGTGTCTGGAACAACACTTGAACTATCTTAACTTAGTTTGAGTCTTGAACAATACTTGAAATATCTTAACTGAGTTTGAGTCTGGGACAATACTTGAAATATATTGACTTAGTTTGAGTCTGAATCAATATTTGAAATTTCTTAACTTAGCTTGTGTCAGGAACAACACTTGAACTATCTTAACTTAGTTTGAGTCTTGAACAATACTTGAAATATCTTAACTGAGTTTGAATCTTGAACAGTACTTGAAATTTATTAACTTAGCTTGTGTCTGGAAGAATATTTGAAACATCTTAACTGGGTTTGAGCTTGGAACAATACTTGAAATATCTTAACTGAGTATGAGTCTGGGACAAAAATTGAAATATCTTTACTAAGCTTGAGTCTGGAACAGTACTTGAAATTTTTTTAACTGAGTTTGGGTCTGGAACAACAATCGAAATTTCTTAACTTAGCTTGTGTCTGGAACAACACTTGAAATATCTTTACTTAATTTAAGTCTTAACTTAGTTTGAGTCTGAAACAATAATTGAAATATCTAAAATTAGCTTAAGTATGGAAAAATACTTGAATTATCTTATCTAAGCTTGAGTCTTGAACAATACTTTAAATATCTTAACTTAGTTTGAGTCTGGAACAATACTTGAAATATCTTCACTTAGTTTGAGCCTGGAACAATACCTGAAATATCTTGACTTAGTTTGAGTCTGAATCAATATTTGAAATACTTTAACTTAGCTTGTGTCTGGAACAACACTTGAACTATCTTAACTTAGTTTGAGTCTGGAACAATACTTGAAATATCTTAACTAAGTTTGAGTCTTGAAAAATACTTGAAACATCTTAACTGAGTTTTAGGTTGGAACAATACTTGAAATATCTTAACTAAGCTTGAGTCTGGAACAATACTTGAACATTTTTTACTAAGTTTGAGTCTGGAACAACAATTGAAATTACTTAACTTAGCTTGTGTCTGGAACAACACTTGAAATATCTTTACCTAATTTGAGTCTTAACTTAGTTTAAGTCTGGAATAAAAATTGAAAAATCTAAACTTAGTTTGAGCCTTGAACAACACTTGAAATATCTTCACTAAGTTTAAGTCTTGAAGACTACTTGAAACATCTTAACTGAGTTTGAGTCTGGGACAACACTTGAAATATCTTAACTTAGCTTGAGTCTTGAACAATACTTGAAATATATTAATTGAGTTTGAGTCTGGAACAACAATTGAAATTACTTAACTTAGCTTGTGTCTGGAACAAAACTTGAAATATCTTTACTTAATTTGAGTCTTAACTTAGTTTGAGTCTGGAATAATAATTGAAATATCTAAACTTAATTTGAGTCTGGAGCAACACTAGAAATATCTTAACTAAGTCTGAGTCTTGTAGACTACTTGAAACATCTTAATTTAGTTTGAGTCTTGAAGAATACTTGAAATATCATGACTTTACTAAGTTTGAGTTTGGAACAATAATTTAAATATCTTAGTTTGAGTCTGGAACCATACTTGGAATATCTTAACTTAGTTTGAGTCTTGAAGAATACTTGAAACATCTTAACTTAGTTTGAGTCTAGAAGAATACTTGAAATTTTTTAACTTTGTTTGAGTCTGGATTTTTTTTTTCAAAAACTTAGTTTGAGTCTGGGACAATACTTGAAACAGCTTAACTTAGTTTGCGTCTGGAACAATACTTAAAATATCTTACCCTAGTTTGAGTCTGGAACAACAATTGAAATATCTTAACTTAGTTTGAGTCTTGAAAAACACTTGAAGTATCTTAACTTAGTTTGAGTCTGGAACCACACTTGAAATATCTTAACTTGGTTTGAGTCTT